CGGTTTCCCCTTCCCGCGTGGCCCCCACTTGAGTCACGTGCTTCACAATTCTTCACCTCGGTGAAGTTTTCTCAAAACTGAGCCGACACCAACCAAACCAAATGTCTCACTTGTTACGTCCGGTACGAAGTGAAACGATTCACGACAACGGACTCAATCCACAATAAGTCGAGGCCCAAACGAGAATGCGAACACTCTCCAAATATCGGTATCAACTCCCAAATCGATCTCACCCCCATCAAAATCCAACCCGGCTGCATCATAAAGACTGCCTACGTATCCTCTTGCCCAAGGAATCAAGCCTCACGTAGTTCACCCAAATGGCCGCGAACGACATCAATCCAATAGAAGAGTTTGCAACCCTTCTTCAATATCATCAACTCTGTGGCTGATAGCACCTCCAATGGCCTCAAAGTGTAACGAATCAAACACTTCCACCTGAGGTGAACCAATGGTCATATCCAAACTGCATCTATTAGCTGCACTCGAATCAAAACCCAACTCATCATCTGCACCCAAATTCAAATGATCCCTAAGCTGTGTCACCTCAGCTGGAATCCCAAATAATGCAGTATGATCTGGAGTAATCTTCACCCAATGTGGAGTAGCATCCCTCTCCACCCGCTACGATACATCTAAGGTCTGTCCAAAACTCTCCACTTGCTGAGAGTCAAATAGCTCCCTCATCGAAGCCTCAATCGAAGTGACACTACCAGACCAAACACCTAATTGAGTTTTACCTCCTATCACAGCAGTTGACAACTCTTTAATAAGATGGCTCGAATATGTCGAAGCCTCAGTCCAGAAACTCTTCTGCAGACCATTGCTTGACAACAAACACCGATCCTCCTCCAGCAAGGCACGGTTCTCCAAATTTACCATCCTATCTGGTTGCCCCAAGATTTTCTTTCTAACAAAGTGTCTCGAAATACCGTGAGCTCGGCTCCAATACAGAAATAAGTCTATTTTGTACTTCTCACCAAAATCAGAATGAAGTACTTTCACCTTTCTGTCTATCACACACTTCTTCAAATTGTTATAGACTACTAGGACTTTCTCCAATGGGGATTTGGTTGCAACCCAAACACGCCTAGAACAGTCACCAACAAAGGAAACCAAACGCCTATTACCTCCCAATGATGCCCCCTTGGAAGGCCCCCAAACATCCACGTGAACTCCTCCAGAACGACCCTTAGCACAATGAATAGAGGTGCCAAACTTCACCTTGGTCTTCTTGCTCACATCAACATGTTCACTGGACTTCAAACTGTAGGTCTTCACACCCTCTTTCAATCTATGCGAGGAATCAATACTGGAATGGCCAAGCCCCAAATGCCACAGTCTAGTCGAATCAATAGAAGTCGCCACTTCTTCACCTGCCACTATACCTCCAGTCAAGTAATACAGGTTATTCTTCCTGACGCCCTTCATCATAATCTGAGAGTCTTTCATAATCTTGAGAACCATGTCCTCAATTCGAACATTCAGACCCTCTTCAACCAAAGCTCCAATCGAGATCAAGTTCTTCTCAAGGAAGGAACATATCTCACATCATATAACTCCCTAACAGTCCCGTCAAACATCTTGATGCGAATTCTTCCTATCCCAAGGATCTAGCATGCACGGTTATCAGCCATGTACACCACACCACTATCCAGTTTCTCAAAACTGGAGAACCATTCCTTTCTAGGACACACATGATAGGTCGCACCACTATCCAACATCCATTCAGATTCCTCCGAATAGCTATCTGTAGGACTTATAGAAAGCGAATAAATAGAAGAGTCAGAAATATTACCATCCGATACGATGTTTGCTTCTGATGATGGTTGCTTCCCTTTTCGCTTCTGCTTATTCTTCATCTATTCGTCGAGCTTTGGGCAGTCTTTCTTCCAATGACCAGTCTCCTTGCACCAAGCACACTGATCTTTTCCAATTGTACGATACCTTACTCTAGACTGTGGCTTCTAATTCTTCCGGTTCGGATTCTTCCCTCTTGCTGCCAACGCCTCTGCTATCGGCTCAATCGAAGTCTCCTTATCCTTCTTCCGAAGCTAATAATTCACCAGTGCAGCAGTGACCTCACTATACGAAAGAGATGCCTTCCCATTAATCAGAGTAAGGATGAAGGTCTCATATCCCTCGACGGACAAGGAACTCAACAATAGCAACGTCTTGTCCTCATCTTCAACCATGACATCCACATTCGTCAAATCCGCAAGAAGCTTTGTGTAGGTGTTCATGTGATCTCTAATTGAGGTTCCCTTCTTTAACTGGAAACGATAAAGTCTCCTCTTCAAATGCAAACGGTTCTCAACACTCTTTGTCAGATACTTATTTTCGAGAATCTGCCAAATGTTCTTTGTAGAAGTCTCATTCATCACATCATATTTTAGATCTTGAGTCAATCAAGACCTAATCACACCACACGTCGTTTAATTCATCTTCTTCCAAACATTCTCTTCAATCTCATCTGGCTTGCCATCTAACTCCAATGTATCCTCCAAATTCTGCGCGTTCAGCGCATCCAAAACCTCGCATCTCCATAATCCAAAGTTGTTTGTGCCATTAAATTTCTCCACATCTATCTTCATAGAGTGGATATTCAAACTCTGAATGGTCTTCGCGCCAGAAGCACCACCCTCGACACCCGAAGCACCTTCTTTCCCCGACATCTTTCTCAAAGCACCAACAAACGAAGAATAGATCCAAAACTGAAAAGATAGAGTCTTCTACCAAAAGATTCCACCTTTATCACCAAACAAAGCCCTAGACGAGCTTTCAAATCGATCTACTCCTCCAAATAGCCCAAGCGTAGCCCAAGCTCTGATACCACTTGTTGTGCGCTGTGAAAATTTCGGCAGAGTTTCTGATGCACAATAAGAGAGAAAGATCAATAAGAATTCTTGTCTCACCAAAGAAACAAGAATCTGAAGCGAATATCTCAACAAAGTGAGATATCGGCCCTTCCCCTCATCAGTTCTAGGACTGACTTGTTGAGGGATCCTAATAAACTATTACAATGGCCACAAACACAAACAAACCAATTTTTACGTGGTTCGACAAACTGCCTACTTTCACGGTGCAAGGAGGGGGGAGATCTACTATTAGAGGGGAGAGAATACAATTAGGGTTTACAATCTCACAATCTAAACCCTCACACAATCTCTCAAACCTCTCACAAAAAAACAGCCAAAAAAGGCCTCTATTTCTCCTGTTGCACGCAGTCCAAGACCCTGCCAAAGCCTTGCACGTCGCAGAAAAGGAGCCTCTGTTTTTCGCCTCTGCTGTACCTGCACCCCCTCTTCTTCACGCTGCCAAAAAATACCCTAGCATGGGTATTTATAGGAGATCGTGACCGAATAATGGGCCTCACAAAGAAAACCGCCTGCTGGATCTTAGAAAATCCTCCCATGCGGTTTGCTTTCGCCTGCTGGATCTTAGCCTATCCTCCCACTTGCTGCTGGATCTTAGCCTATCTCTTCATGTGTTCACGAGAAAAACCCGCTGGACTTCTCCCACGAACAAATTCGTAGCCCCCACTTAAGCAAAACCAAGTCATGTCTCTCTTTCACGCGGTTTCCCCTTTCCGCGTGGCCCCCACTTGAGTCACGTGCTTCACAATCTGTTATTCATTCTCTAATTAGTGAGAATCAAGGGGCTTTTATCCAAGGGAGAAATTTATTTCACAATATTCTTATAGCCCAAGAGCTTCTCCGTACGCATTCCAGGAAAAATATTAGCCTTAGATGTGCTAGAAAGGTTGATCTCATAAAGGCGTATGGCTCTATTAGTTGGTCTCTTCCTGATGAAGTACTTCATGGCCTAGGTTTCCCTTATAAATTTAGAAAATGGATCATGCAATGTTTATACTCAGTCTCTTATTCCATCACTAATTTTGCTAATGGCTGGTAATGAATAAAATTGAACACTAAAGTCTTTGTATTTATAGTCGTTTAAAACCTTCGAATATGAATCTGAATTTGAATATCATTCTCAGAGTTTCTTCAAATTTGAACACAAATATTTTTCGATTATTTGCAATCTTTTTTAAATATTACACTATATTTATTTCATTAATGATTTAATGTGTATGAACCTAAACTTCTTTAAGAATATTCTTTTATTTGATTAAAAAATGCATTTAATGTTCTAATTAATTTGAATTTTAAATAGAACTTTAGTTTATAATTCAAAATTATTTCTTCCTGATGATATCCAAGTTTGTAATTAGAATATTTAAAAAACTGATGTAACACTTCTAAAGCCAGTAAAGATTAGCCTCAAACTTAAATTACAAAAACATAAATGTTCAGAAGCATAGTATTACGTATGTAATAATTAAGGAATCAAATTTCAAACAAATATTTAATCAAACAATAAAACACGTCTAGTTAAGAATTTGTCAGAACCAGATGCTAAAAGCTATTTGTTTAATAATAAGTAAACTAAATACAGCCAAACAACCAGACAAATAATTAACAGCATATTTATTAATTATTTGATTCATCTCCACCCTTAATTCTGCCTAGTCCACCTCTCCTTGCAGGCAAAAAAAAAAAAAAAAAAAACCAAAGAAAAAAAAAAAAAAAAAAAAAAAAAAAACCAAAGGAAAGTAAAGGATAGATACAGTAAAAACTCATACTTCTTATGGGACCCAAGAAGTCATCGGTAAACACAAACTAATCCTTACACATGAACACGAACGGATAGCATAATCCATACTTCAACATTCCCATCGCAAGTAAGAAATAGCCACTCAAATAGCAGGGCTTTGTTAAGTTCTCCACATAGTCCATCACCATATAAGACTACATAATTATAGTTCCCATCGCAAGTAAGAAATAGCCACTCAAATAAGAAGGCTTTGTTAAGTTCTCCATATAGTCCACCATATAACAACACACACACAATAATAACAATAATAATAATAAATAAATAAATAAATAAGTATTATAACACACAAACGATACAGCCTCCGAATCTAGTACAAGCCAATCTGAAGCAAAGCCAAAAGGATAAAATATAGATAGCATACTGTGTTCTAATAAGAAAATCAATTAAAACTCCAACAAACATTGGCTATAACTCAAATCACTGGAAATACACCAAGCTGACATGTATTCTGGAGCCCCTCAATGCTGGTCGCTTGGTTGGCTCCAGTGCTGAGACAAATATAAGTATACAACTCTACGTACACATACATTCATCCCATACAACCTCCACGGTGAAACTAAATAGACAAACTGATAACACAGTGTCTTATAGAAGGTAAAAATCAAATAAAAAAACTCGCACTAACATTTAATTCTATAGCTTAATCACTGGAAATACATAAGTTGCTGAGCTGCTGCAGCATTCTGAAACCCAGCATCATAGATTGCTTGACTGCCTCCAGCGCCAAGACCCATGGAGGCTTGCTTGAGAGCATGTGGGCCCTGGGCCTGAAGCAGTGCTTGGTTGGCAGCGGTCATCTTGCTCAGGGCAAGAGAACGCTCATAGGCAAGAAGGTCGGTTGCAGAGAGAGAAGGAAAAGGAGCTGGAGCAGGAGGGGGAAGTGGGGTTGATGCTGTTCCAGGCGGAGTTGGCTTGCTGCCCCAAGAGCACTGCAAGAATTAGTAGGATGAATGAGAAATAGCAAACAATGAGTAAAAAAAGGTTAAATCACAACCCCAGTCCTTGAAGATTCCCGTGATCTGCTCAAACCCCCAGTAAACTTTATAAACTAGAATTCCAACGAACTTGTTTCATTCACTTACTCTGACCAACAATGGATGGCTTAAATGTTTGGGCTGTTCTCCCTTAATGTACCTTTTAATTGAGTTTTTTGGGTTAGGGTTGATAGATATTAGTAAGGTAGTTTAGACAGTTTATCTGTCAACCTAACACCACCTATGACAATTTTCAATAGTTGTAGGTTTGTACAATTTGAAAGTTCAGGGGGTTTTCTCTAATTTATAAAGTTTGGGCATTGTACAGAACACCCCAAACTTCAAGCGGCATTGTGAAATTAGCCCTTTATCTTAATCGTCAAAAAAGAAAAAAGAAGTGTTGAGAACATTGTCAACGGTGCACTCCCAGATTACATTATGAGCAGTTTGGGCATTGTGCAAAACAACCCCAAACTTTCAAGGCGTTGTGAAATTAGTTCCTTATCTTATTGGTCAAAAAGTGAAAGCTGAAAACATTGTCAATAGTGCCCTGCCAGCTACCATGGAGTTAATCTCTTCAAATTCACACTAAGATATGGTAAATTTGTGGCATGGTTATGATTAATTATGTCCTGCTCAAGTCAAAGTAGTTGTGATCTACCCACATTTTGCTGATCTCCACACTGCAGTGTAGCTTGATAACTTTTATCAACCCCCACAATACCGTCCTGATGAGAATTACATCTAATACAACCCACATGTGATTTAGTCTCTTCCAGATCTGCCGTTGTGATCTACGTCATAATCAATCCACAATATGGCCCAACTGAACAAGAAGTGCATTCAAGTAGTCAGATGATTCACTTTTCCTTTGAACCAGTCTAGCTGGCTCTCATAAATCCTTATCTCATTATGGTTCTATACTTCTAGTATAACCAAAAGAAGAAAACAAAACATGAGAAGGCGTTCATGATAATTTACATTTTCCACTTCACATCATGCTCGTAAGTTTTTAAAAGTAGACAATGGGAGTTGATAATTCAGCTCATTATTTGTTTCATTAGGAAATAGCACTAATTCAGAATATTACCTTGACTGGCTTTCCACCAAGAATTTTAGCATTACCCATCTGAATAGCAAGGGCAGCTTCAGAATGATTACTATATCTTACAAAACCAAATCCTTTATCCCTCTGTACACGGACCTCTTCAAGCTGACCAGCGCCAAGTGCATAAAAGAAGCGGTGCAAATCCGCTTGTGTAACCTGCCATTATTTCATAGTGTAATTAGCCTTAGAATACCAAAAGATAACTGATTAATATTCAGAACTTTCTGTGTCCAACTGAGCTGGGAAGTAGTATTATATGCTAAAATCATGAGGATTCCAAAAGGCTCAGACAGAAGGTAAAGCTAAGAATTTTCACTAAAGAGTCAAAAAAGAATATTTGGGCCTGATGCAAACTATCACAGAATAAACCAATTTCCCTGTGCATGGACACATGCATACAGCTACTGCAGACTAAAAAGAAGTAAATTAAAATTCACATAACTTCTGAGGATTTTAGAAGGTTCAGGCAGAAGGTAAGGCCGAAATTATTCAATGGAGATTAAAAGAGAAAGGACAAAAGAAATGCTTGGACTTGCACTAAGTGTCACAGAAAAAAATAATTTCCATGAGCATGTGCCCGTGCATACAGTTAATGCAGACTAAGAAGAAAAAGGTCTAATTTGGACAATACAAAAAGCACACATTAACACGACATATGAAAGAATCTGGATAATGATGATTACTCACCTCAGGAGCAAGATTACCAACATAAACAGTCGTATATTGCGGGTTATTCTCTGGGCCATCATCATTTGCAGCCTCTTGACCATCATCTGTACAAAGAATTAGACCACTTAGTATCATTATGTGATAATAAAAGTAAAAAGTATCCAACAGATAAGCTGATAATGATCAGAAACTTCAGATAGTTGTCATAAACATTTCAGTCCAAATTCAAAATATAAAAGCAGCCCATTGCTCATTGTGATTGATGCGCTAATAAGAATATTTTGCACAATCAGTCTAGGCAACATGGAAGCTTAATTTTCTTAATAGTAATAACGGAGCCTAATAATCTGGCTATAAAATTAACTTAATAATAAGTGGTGTAAGATACAAGTATTAAGTCGAAAATACAAGTATTAAGTTGCCATTGTGTAATGACACTCACCTCCTGATCCAGTGGCCATGTCTACCATGCTCTTCGCATCTGAGTTTTGTTTGTCCTCGTTGCCAGCACCTTTTGTCGCCCAGTTGCAACGAATTTGCCGATTCCCAAGCCACTTGCCTGCATAAGTAGAAAATGCAACAGTATAACAATCAATCCTGTTACATTCGTTCTCCAAAACTAACAAATATAAAAAAATGAAAACCTTCAAACCAAGTCAGCAGATAGAAATTGACGTACCACTCAAGTCATTGATGGCACTTTGTGCTTCCTGCCAAAGAATTCAAATTATCTTGTCAAGACACTGAAAAGGTGAAGAAAATTTAGAATAACACAAAATTAACATCACAGTAACCTGCTGGCTGCGGAAAGAAACAAAACCAAACCCTCTAGAGCGCCCAGTTTTTTGATCCCACATAACCCTTGCATCTCTGCAACAGATACAGACCAAACCCACATTACAATGTGCAACACAGATTTCCATAGGAGTACTTAGTTCTGCCGATTCAATCACAAGGTAAAAGTTCTTAATTCCACCAGTCCAGTCAAAAAGGTTGCACATAATGGAAAACAATAGATGGAAGACTATGTAGCGCTTATGACTTACGAGCAGCTGGGGTATACAGAAAAGCAAGCAAACAAGGCATTGTCTGTGATCTCAGGGCTAAGATCACCAACAAATATGTTAAAGTGCCCTGCAAATCATAAAGTAGCTACATTAGAGAGGATACCTAAAATGTAGTAAGACATCCTCGCACGCCAACTCGTGTGCCTGCACACATGCATGCACGCGTCCAGAGACGTGTAAGAAATCAAATGAAAAAAGTCAACCTGATGTATCTTCTCTCTGGCTACTTGCATATGCCCAATTCACCTTGATAGGCTGGCCAAACCTGCAAAATTTCATGTTATAACATAGAGGTGGAATAAGGACCTTGATAATAGAAAAAAAGTAATATA